ATTAAGGATACGACGTATAATTACAACGTATAATTAACTTGACGTAATAAAGCAATTTTTTAACATCAAATATGAAATATCTCTAGCAAAATATTGACTTTTCCATTATCTTGATTTCATATTCCTAAAGTAACAAAAATGTTGATTTATGTAAAAAAAATTCTATGATTTAAAAAATACTTAGTTTCAAAAAACAATGCAATTGTATTACATCTTGCAGTTGCATCTATGAAAAAAAATATAATTACAGAAAAGCAAATAAACAGTGTAATATTTCTCTATTATTTTTTACTTCTATTTTTATTTAGAGAAAAGTTATATTTATTATTAGTTTCTTTTTCTTATACGATTTCTATTTGAATAAAAATAGTACAAAATATTAATAATTACGAATTGTTTTTTATTAAATTGAAATAGTTTGAGTAGAAAAATATCACATCATCACAAAGTTATTTGTTTGAAAAACCTTCTGACATTATCATGTAACGATATTTGAACTGCCGTTGATTAGACGATAATAACTAGCAATTAACCAACGATATTGCAAATATTTTCGCAATATTTGTTTGTGATTACCAATTATGTAATTTTGAGACGTTCGCCTTTTTTTTTTTTAGATTATCGAGCATGTGAATTTTCATTAACGCGCGCATGATTGATGATGATGCAAACAGCATGTTGATGAAAGCGCGATGTAATGTTAATAATTAATATCGATATATAATAACGATCGATATATCGGATTGTCGACTACACGTCACTTGAATAAATATCGAGTGAACACAAGCGGAAGAGAGAAAAGTAAACGAAAGAGCTTGATTAATGGGAAATCAATATGATTATTTGCGCGATAGATTTGGAAACATGTTTTGTAGCATTTTCATCATTGTTACGAAATGCAAATGTGCAATAATAAAAGTAAGTATAAAAGAATACTTATTTATATTATATTTAAAAAATGCTTAACATATTCTTACATATTTTTGATTTTTTAAATCTTTAATTTTTCTCTTATTAAAATATTTTTAATGCGAAAGTTTTATTTCTTTCGGCAAATTTTCAAATGTTTCAGAGATGAGGCCTTTTTAATGAGGAAATTTTGATTAATGTGCTCTTATCAGACTTTTACATATATCTGTTTTCCAGTCAGAATTGAAACTAGTTCACTCTTTCTGTCTTCTCGATTGGAAAACGTCAGCACCCGGAAAGCGCAGTTGGCGTTTATTGTCACGTCTCGTTGAGACCGGAGGTTAAGCGACAATTGAACTGCAGAAGGCGGTTTACTTTAACAAGACGAATAACAGATACAGTGAACATTGTTTAAGAAAAATGCGCGAGTATAAATGTTACAATGTAACATTTGTATATTTATTGTATTTATATCTGAAATCATTTGATATTTTAATAACGATACTCTAGAAAATAATGCATTATTGTCAGAAATTAAAGGGATATAATATATGTAAATAATTTAAAAATAAAAATTATAATCATATATTTTAAAATCAAGAAAATAAAATTTGAAATATATAAATTTTAAAAATAAAAATTTAGATATATAATCATTCTGATGTTTTAAAATTTAAAAACAAACTGTTTTACTATTTTAAAAATTTACATCGAAAAGAAAAGAAGAGAAGAGAAACAAAGATCTTAATAGACACCAGATCTTTTCCCTTTCTTTCTAAGCATTTTAGATATTAAACTTATATATTAGATATATCCACCTAATTACTAGTAATAGAATAAGATTGGTAATGTTGTGAAAAATATCCATGAATTTTTTCTTGGAGTATTTTAAATATCTAATTAAATTCTCTTCATAAACCTTTGATTAATTCGTAAGATTGCAATCTTACGCAATATTGCGACGTGTGCAACGTTAACTGCGTCTCTACTTGAAATAATTTTGATATCTGATTTGCACACGTGTTTGCACAACTTTTATGTCGGACGTTAAACGTATGACATAAATGTTACGTGTACACATTCGTTCTATTATAATAATGTGTTTGTTATTAAAACAAAATTTTTATTTAATTAATTTAAAAAAATGAGAACTATGGTTATTTAATATAAAGCGTAAGATTTTAAGTTATTAAAATATTATAATGTGTGGATACGTTAAATAATATTTAAGAATGAAATTGCATAATGAATACGAAATAATAATTAATATCTTAGATGAATTTAAATATATTAATTATAAATATAATAAATAATATCACCTAATTATTATCAAAATGATGTGATCAATAGTTGTAAAATTTGAAAACATACTATAAGAAGCTAAGTATCATGAGTCGATAAAAAAATTATGAAAGTTACGTTACTAACAAACCAGTAAGAAGATCTCTGCTTTATCTACAGTTTACCTACAGTTACCTACTGTTTCATATTCAAGAATAAGTGAATACTCCGCTAGAGGACCTCAGAATTACAATTCTATACACTGAACTGTCAAAGGATGACACGTGACTTTGATTGATGATCAGCTGATTTTTATTTTGATGGCGATTTTCACGTCTTTCTTTAAAAAAACTTTTTTACATGATTTACATGATTCTATGTGATTATAAGCAAATAAAAATCCCTTGTCATTTTAAACAATAAAATTGTATACAAAATATATACGAAAAAGACACGCAATTAGAAATAATTACAATTTATTAGAAAGATTTGAAATTATTTTATTATATGATTTTAAAAAATTGTAAGATAATGGCTGACATGCAAAACAACTGATTTTGGTATGAAAAACTATTTTAGAGAAAAATTTTATGATTTCTAATTTTTACAGTAAATTTATATATAGATATGATTTTATATTTCACGTAAAAATTATTATGAGATTAATATTCTTAGATTCAAATTTTTTAAATTTGTAGAAATACACTTTTATATTTATTTATTTCGTATTGTACGATTTCTATTTTTAATTTTGTTTCTGTTCATATCTATAATTAGCTTTAAATTTTCCTTAAAAAAAAAATTTTTTTTTGCACATTTTCTTTTTGTACAATATATAAGTACATTGAAATATTTTGTGTTTTAAGTGAAAATAATATCGCGTGTATGATAATATTATATATATAACTATACTCTGATATTTAAATTATTCACCTGTTATGTAATACATTGCGTATTGCGCGTGCATGAAATTGTATAGAATATGAAATGGAATAGACTGTTATTAAATATTGTGCGGCACAAACTGTGCAAGATTATAGATTGAACGTATATTGCATATAATAATGTTTAAAGCTCATTTCCCAAAAATGCGCTTTTAGAATGCAATGTTATTATATACGAATGGATTTCATATTAAACATTTTTTATTTTTTACTCTTATAAAAAATTAAGAATTTGCAAAATTACTGATAAGGGATGAGACTATATTGAAAAGCATAATATTTCCAAAAAATCTATAATTAAAAATAAATAATTTTGAACAAATTAAAAGTCATAAAACTTTTGCCTAAAATAGTCTTTCATGTATTTCATGACTTCGAAATTATTCACTCAAAATCAAATATATCGAATATCATCTCCGAGGGTGTGTTTCAATTCTTAAACATGCGAGAAAGAATTTAAAAAATACGTATCTTTTATATATTTCAATATATATATTTAAAATAGCCTTAAACTCGCAAAAAGACACTTCTTATATTTCATATATTTATATATATCTTTCGTTTTTGTATAACATTAGAGTCACATGCTTATATAAACTTATTTAAAAAAAAAAAAGAAATATCGGTTCTCATGTAAATTTGACGTGACTCATTTCGTGAATGCAACGCAAAAACTCGCATACGCGCATACGCGTAGACTATTACTATGACAGCTGGTTTGTCACAGTAACGTAAACTATATTTAAAACCAATCCTTTATTTATTTTTTGAGATTAGACAGGCATTCGCGCTCATGTATTCTCAGAAAAAATTACTGTCTCGTACGAGTACTAATTAATCATTCACTGTCGCGAGTGAATGACAGATCTTCTCGAGATACATCTGCATTCGTTGCGAAAACAATGATCCAAATATATCCTTAATAATGTGTCAAAACTTGGATATAATATATATGTATATTCGAATATAAACCAATAAATCATACATTACAATTAGTAATCAATGGGCGTGATTAAATTGGCGATAGTCGCGTGTTCCATCAATCGAGTGCATCAATAATGTGTGTTATTAATCTAAAATTAATCTAGTCGCTCACGTGGAAAATTAACCAGTCGACCCTGGACCAAATTCTCAACAAATATTTATACAAATTTCCAATTCGTGCGCAGTCTTTTGTTTTTTACACATTTTCTGTCTTTAACATATCTTTATGATTAGAAAAATTAAACTGCGAATGGAAAATAAATTATTAATACATGGATGACGTGAGCAATTTGTGATTAAATGCGAACTAGATCATTGAGAATTTGTCAAATAGTTTTCAATTATGTATTTCAACACTTATGGATTTTTTAAGTCTGAATTTAAAACTTGAAGTTGATAAATTCAAATCGTACTTATAAATTTTTGCAAAATTCCAAATTGCAAATATACCAAATTGTAGCTATAATATGTCAAAATAAAACTTTAACAAATTTTGACGTGATTGAAACAATTTGATGAAATCGAAATCGTACTCGGTGTAAAAAAAACTACGGGAAATGATTAATCCTATATTTTTTTTTCTTGAATAATTGATAATTTATGATCTCCCGATTAAATTTTTATCAGTTACAAATTATATTAAAATCGTGCAGAAATTATAGCTACGTATTTATATATAATTCATGGCCTTAAAATAAGACCAAAGTAATAGAGGATCAATTAAGAAAGAAATAAAATTTACCATCAACAACTCTCCCTCGCGTAAAATTAACGACTCTCATAAAGTTCTTTTAAAATTTATCTGTTCTGAATTCGTGCGAAAAAACGAAAGATTGAAAAAAACAAAGAAAAACAGAATTTTTTATAAAGAAACTCACTCACCGGTGTCGTTTTCGTGCCCTTGGGGCCCGTCTCCCACATCCTCGGTGGCTGTAGAGAGTGCTGCAACAGAGATAAGGAAAGAGCAAAATAAGATCAGTAAGTGACTACCTACCATTTTATATTAGGGGACATTGAAGGCAGGGACACGGAACGAGAAGGGGAGGGGGTGCGATTATTAATGCGAGTCGCATCGTAAAGTTATGTGCCCTTGAGACAATCGCGATGACTTCCACGTTGACGGACATTGACGGGCATTAAACTATAAACTATAGCCAGAGTCTCTCGCGACAATTAACTCTTTGTCAGAGTTATTTATGCGATGTGATCTTTGACTGGACCCTGAGTAAATGACTGAATGAAACGAAATTAAGCTTATTTGCCTACTTGATTATCACAATTTCGGTGTAATAGAGTTACACAGCATCTGTCACACATAAGCGCGAATGAGAAAAAATTATTCTTTAAAAAAATCACATATACACACACGGAGTTTACAAACATACATTTAAAAACATACAATTATTATTATACACTTATCTAATAAATCAAAATCTGTTATGTTATCGAATTTGATCTGGCATCTCTTCAGCCTTTTTTACGAAAGATAAAATATATATTTCGATCATACTTTCTAATAGAATCCTATCCTTATTAGTAATAAAGGATACAGCACTGAGATAGCTACTATTATTTATTATTAAAGAGACTTAAATATTATTTTATTTCATTAAATGAATTTTTTGGAAAAGATTTCTCAAATAATTCTTATTTTAATTAGCCGAAATCAACTTCTGAATCATTGCCGGAACTTGGCACGATTACACCTATTATGGACTGCGTTTGATTGCGCATTATATTTTAATTCACGTGCGCATAATTGTCATGAACGTGATGCGTCAGTAAATCGCACGTTACTTGCGTTAATTAGCGAATAAACTTCTAGTACTTCTTAACTGCGGATACGATACCCGACATGTGACTGTTTGTGAAACAGCGATATAAAACAGCATATAAAATATATTTATTATAAGATATTATAAAATATTGTATATTATAATTAAGTCAATAGTTATCCGTTTCTATGAATTATCAATTGTGCGTGTAAATATACGCAAATTTTTCGCGAATGTGATCGAACTCAGCAGTGTTCTTGAATCAAAATATGGCGACCAGTTCAAGGATCATCTCGATTGTGACGATGAGATGTCCTCAATGAATTGAGGCGTGAGCCATGCGTTTTCTCAAGGTGAGCTTCTCTTTATTGCCTGCATCCGAACAATCCGTAATTTGTGTAGTAATCAGTTCGAATGGATCGACCACACTTGTTTTTTTCTCTTTCATTTGCATTCCTCCTCAAACGGTTCGTTTTGAAGAATATTTTAGTAGAATTTTTACGATGAATAATTAATACATATGCAAGTGAACCTTTATATTAGTGGACATAAGTCTCACGTTTTCCAATGCTTTAAATAAGATTCACTTCAGTGCTTTCAGTGCGAAATAAAGTCTACAATAATTCAGTTCCATATGATAATTATAGGTTCGAATAATTATAGGCTTTGTTTTAAACTGAAAGCATTCTGTGATATGAAATAGATCTCGCTTTGCAAATAGTTGCAAATTCATGTAAAAACATAATTATAATTTTATCAGTTTTTATTTTTTATTAAAGAATACTTAAAGAACTAAATTTTTATTTGTTAATAATTTTTAATATGAACAATAAATGACAGCTAAAATTGTTTGAAAGTCACTTATTGTTGGAATCATGTCTTGATAACATAAAAATCAAGATATAATTAGCGAAAGAAGTCATAATAATGTAAAGTTTTTTTATAAATTTTAAAAGTTTTTTTTATAAATTTAATTTTTAATTTCATGGATTAATATATATTTCAATCAAATATACCAAATTTCTTTGAATCCTTAAACAAGAAAGTACAGGTAAAAAAATTTTTTTATTTTTGACGGTCTTATAATATATTGAGACCCATCAAAATGGGTAAAGGATAGTTCGAATAGTTTTTTTGTCATAAATAGAAGCAAACAATCGCTTATGGAGTGAGGTAATATTGTACCTTGAACTTTTAAATCCTTTCGGCATCGTTATTACCTGTAGATTTTTTTTCGTAAAAAAACGCACGTCCTGACCAATATGAGTCGAGTATTTGCTGATAATGTGCATGTATAATTCTGTGCTTATATTCCTTCTTCGAAAATTGCGAATTCTACCTCTTTTTTTTTCTTTTTATTTGTTTTAATTTTTTTCTTCGAAAAAATATTTTCTTTCCTATTACGTATGGTTGTCTAATCAATACTCATAAATACTAATCACTGATCACATTGAATTAATGATAGAGATCCAGGAACTTCGCACGTGCAAACATTATCGAATTGCGTGTGCCGGATTTCTATAGGAATTCAGAATAATGTGTCGATTACGTGACAACGATGTGAAATGTTTCCCTTGCATTCCAATGGAAATGTTGTCAAGAGCCACATTATAAAATAATATTTAATATAAATATGTAAACATAATCGCAATAGTATATCGAAGTATATCGTAATGATATTAGAATATTTTAGTTCTATCCATTTTTTTATCCTTGGATAAAATATAGTAAATAATAAAGTATTTGATAACTTATACATTATATGAGTCAATATTGGAGCTACATTAAAATTCATCGAATAATCAGGCTAAACAAATTACAATAATTGAGGATTAATTTACTGGCCCTTGAACTTTTTAATCGCTCGACATTCTGAAGCTATTGATGCCTCAAATCTTATTAGCATACTGGAAATCGGCACGAGCTGTCTACGATTTATTTAAACAAGTCTCGTGCGTTAGTAATTTCGAAAGGATGTTGCAATTCAGACATGTTATTCAGCGGATCCATTGCATTTGGAAATCCATGCAGGGTCGCACACAAAAAAGTAATTTTTGTTTCATTTTTATCATTTGATGGTAGTGTTGTGAATTGACAGTGAAACATTAATTTTATTGTGACAGGAAAAAAAAATGGTATGTCTTGTAATATTACGCGATATTAATTTTTTATTTGTCTAATAAATTTTTTATTTGTCTAAATAATGAGCATAGACAACTCCACGCATTTAAATACATTGAAACTTAATTTTTAAATTAAAATATATCGGTTTTTAGAGAGGATTTTTTAGAGAAGGATCGATTTTTTAGAGAATTTTTAAAGAGGATTTAAAAAAAGATTATTTATATTTTTATTTATAGTATATAAAATATATCATTATATAAGATTATATGCATATAATATAATATACGTATATATAAAATTATATAATATATATAAAATAAATACAATAAAAATTGTTAGATATATAAACACAAATACAATACATGAAATTGTGTAATACTTTCCATTTGATTTATAATGAGATTTCAAATTTCTGTTTCCGCAGTCGTGTAAAAAATTTTTGCGTGCGTCCCTGAATGTCGAGATTATTCGCGTTTTTGAATGGAGCTGTAAGTGATGCTGCAAGCGAGTACGAAAGATGGTGAGAGGCGATCTCGGGATTATAGAAAGTCTTCAAAACGATTTTTAGCATGCGCATCATCTCGCATCATTGGAATAAAGTGGAGCGAATTAATATTGGCTTCTGAAGCTAGAGAAATAACTTTTTTGAGAATTTATTAAGAATATATCTTGTGTGGGTATGTGTGAAATGAAAATGTCACGGCTTTATAAATATAAAGGAATATTGAGAGAAATATATTCAAGCATATTATTATTTAAATATGTAAATAATTCAATATTTAACATCAATTTCAAATTGAATTGTTTTAGTATCTAAATATTTAATTATTCAACTGTCAAAATATTATATAATATGCAAACATCAAATATTTATATAAATATCTAAATGTGCAGATATTTAGAGATATGTAATTATTTAAGTATTTTCCGAAAAATTTATACGTTAGATAAATATAATTTGTACATTAAATAAATATAATTAAATAAATTTTCAAATATAAAGAGTTTCAAGTATGTTCTCTTATGACAATATTTGAGTATTTAAATATTCGTCCATCACGTGTTTCTTCCTGATCGTTTACTATTCGGGCTGCATACTTGGATGCCAAGTATCATCGTTCATTGCGAAGATACCACACATGCGAAATAACGCGAGAGACAAGGAATGAACAAAAAGAGAGATGGAAAAGGTAAAATACCAAGTGAACAGCAGGAAGTCAATGAAAATAACGTGATTATAGTCGACTTTCATTTGCATATGTCATAATATAATTGGTTACCTGCAACACGATTAGCGCATTTATAATTCGAATATTGCAAGTAATAGTTTCTGATCTTTGGAACGAAACGCAATGAAAAAACGCAAAAAAATTCTAAAAAATATGCTGCAATGATCAATATTAAACATTTTTTTATTTTCAATATTACAAAACTATCGCGAAGTAGAGAATCACTTGATAAAGTTAATTTTTAAATTAAAATTTTATTAAATTGAAGTTGACTTTAAATGAATTTTTTAATGTAATACATTTATTTCTTTGGAAAGTATATACTCTTTTCGCCAACAAAATAAAAAATATATATTATAATTTTCTATTTTACATTCTTTCATTAATAAAATAAAAAAGTTCAAAATTGATCTTGATTGATGAATAGAACACGTTCCTTCGATTTAATGCCATTTAATTTTTTTCTTTTAAAGTTAAAAAATATGACATAAACCAGAGTCACATCGAGAAATATAAGGCAATGGATTATGGCAGCATATGTCACAATAAATCTAGAAATAATAAAATTATATGACTCAACGTGATTCGAAAAAAGATTACAATGTTATATCTTGCATATTATATCATATATGCATACACGTACGTGCATATGTATATAATGCACATTTATGTAAATTAATATTCTTTTTGTTAGTTATACTTTACATATAGAAATATTAGGATAAAATAATAAAAAAATTAATTAATTACAAAATATTTCATGGTTTAATTAAACATTTTACGACATAAAATATGATAGAATATTTCGCAAATA